GAGAAAAAATATTTTAAAAAAGGGAAAAAAATAATTTATAGTTTGTTTTTTTTTATTTTTATTTTTTTTTTTTTATTTTCATGGGTTTACTGATTGCTAACTGACAAATCTAAGACCACAGATTGTCCTCCCTTTCCAGCATGTTACTTACAGTTTTGGAGACAATCCAATTTGTTTTTGGTCTTCAAAGTCAATTAACCCTCATCAAAATTAGTTATTTATCCCATTTTTCAATAATAAATGTTCAAACATATTCGACACTACACTACAATAATAATAGTAGTAGTAGTAGTAGTCAATATATCAAAAGATCTGTTCCTTTCTGAAGAAATTCAGATCTGTTTATGACCAAAAGAACTTTCTGTTCATTTATTTTCCATCTGGTCATCAAACAAAATTGTTCGAGAGAAAATACTTATTCCTGAGAGGATTTACTTATCCTCCATATTCTCATTATAGACAAGTCTTTAAAAATAATTAGATTAGATTCTTCAAAACATTCTTATTAACGTGCAACACAAGTCTTTTCAGTGAAGGAAAGAAAAGGTTTTTCACTATTATTTCACGCCTTATAAAAAATATTTTGATACATTTATCATATAAAAAATACTGTACAAAGATAATATTTACAAATATAACATATCTTCCATTCACAGAAATAAGAACTTACATAAACCAATAACATCTTCACCACTGTTTTTGCATTTGCGTAATTTTGTTTAATAATAATAAAAAAAGTCATTTTTATTCATATGTATTTTGTTTCCAAACTATTATAAAAATATGAATAAAAATAACTTCTAAAAGTTATTTTGAACTCTGATTCTTTTAATGGAACACTCGGTTCGCTAAATAATGTACAAAAAAAAACTTACCAATGCTTCAATAATTATGAGAAAAATCCGTTGAAAATTAATATTACATGATTTTCTGGAAAAAAATACTCTAAACTTAAATAACTCATTTCTACATTAACTCTTCATTCTTTGTCAAAACATGTACAGAAATACTATCAAATATTGAAGCACAATAATTATTAATTATTTTTAAACAAATATAAAATTAAACATCAGTCATGATATATTTTTATGTCACAAGATAGATGTATGTTTAAGTCCACATATCCAGTTTTGCAGGAACGAACTATTTTCAATTCTCCACACATAACTCAAAACCTTCAATTTCTTCACACTGGCGATTAAAATCTTTCATCCATTTATTTGCTTCTTTTGCCTGCAAGAAAATGTATAGAAAGAATCTTATATGGAATTCCCAGGTAAATTACATAGATATCAATATTGTAAATTATTAAAGTTAGGTGGAGGAAAGCCATTTCCTTTCAGAAATGAAAATAAACAAGCAACCAAAATTTGCAAATACACTTACTTCATTTTTATTTAATTTTACTTTTTTTCGTTTTATTGGAGAAGAGTGGTGAGAACTTTCGCCCGCTTCTTCTGATTCACTGTCAATTTCAATCCACTCACAGCCCACACGTTTCAGTTTTTTCCGAACTGATCTCACATATGACCTTCGAGCAGGCTGAAACATAAACACAAATCAGTCCACTTACTTCACACAAATTCTTTATTACAAAAGAGGGAGAAAAAAGTTTTTGAGTGTCACTGTTTCTTCTGTGCATGTCAGTGGATAAATTAACGTGCATGCATACTTCAAACTTTTAGTATACCATGTTTTCTTGATTTGAATAATACAAAGACAATCATTCATGTGGAGCTTTCCTCTCAATTTTATAGAAAATTGAAAATTATAGGGAAAAACAGTCTTTATCCATTAAGTTTAAACAAATACTAAGTGTGCCAATTCAAGTCAATGAATAAAGACTGTTTTTTTCCAATAATTTTGAATTATTTTGATTTGTCGATAAAAATTGAAAGGATTCAATTTCACCAAAACACAAGATTCTAATACAATACAATACAGCAGTTTTAATGGCTGAAAATAATAAATAAAATTTTCAGTTTTATAATCATTATGGCACCAAAATTTCCGTATTTGCCTTGAAAGTACTTATACACAAGGTTTGGAGCAACTGACTTCAGAGCTACCCTTTCCCCACAAGAGCAATCTGAATTTTAGGGCTTCTTACAATCACAATTTCTTTTAAGACAATTTATATGAAGAACTAAACCACTGTTGTAATTCACTCAAATTCTTTCATATTTGTTTTTAAACATAATCAGTAATCTTTGTGTGAAAATTTATTTGATTGTTGTTGATTTTATTCATTAAAAATTAAATACAAAAACTAATATTACCAAACTAATCAAACCAATATAGTTTTACCAAATTGTAAATTCATATTTTATGAAATGTTTATATTGTTTGAAGATATTTTGGACTCTGTCTTTATTTTATATGGTATTATGTTTTAGCTATAATTATCTTGTTCAGAACTACTGCATGAAACCATTTCGCACATCTGGTGACTTGGGTGAAGTTTCCAAAAACTTTACTAAAAAGACTATACTTTACAGAACCAAATTTTGAGTCAAAGATTAAATTTTTCAAGCCATGCCTCATTTACCGTGAGAATTTAAAGTAAATATATAATTCTCAATTACTTTCCAGTCTGCAGTTTCAGGATTTTCATCTTCAGTTATTCACTTTAAAATATTCATTATCATCTTGTATCCCCAAATGAATTATTTAAAAAAATGTCTATACAGGAGAAAATTCCTCACTTAACACTAATATCCTATCTATTAGTTCAAAAAGATAACTGTTTAATACTAGTGCGTAGACTTATTTATAAACTTTGCATATTTCGGGCACTTGATGTTTGATTCTGTTTGACTTTCTTGGAATTCATGTACAAAAGACTATTCAGCTCATACTCTCTCTTTTCAAAATCCAACAAAGATCTTCCTGAAAGTTCTAGCATCTACTTGCTATACCAAACTTCATTGTGACTAATAGATGGTCCTTGATGAGGCAATATTACTGTTTCATCACTCTTGCCACGTGCCTGTGTGCCCACACTCAAAAAGCTAATATTGCCCTTTTGCCTTCATATTAGAGTTTATTCAGACTTGGTGGCAACAAGGATAAATTAAATCATCCGAGAATCATGTTTGTCATTCCAAATACTTCTGTCTACTTGACAACTGGGAGTGGGGTAGAGTTGTTGCCACTTACTCTGGTAGTAGACATGTGGTTGTTCTTGCAACAGATCACAACAGCAGCATTAACAAAAAATAAATCACAATGAGAGCACCCCATAGAAGACGACAGAGAACCACACACACAATGCATAACCGTACAAGTACTGGTGTCAAATAGCACTCTTCAACTTTCAGTTACCTTGTTTGATAATGTATTTTTTTCTTAAAAAAACATCAGCAACTCTGCAGTGATATCAGAATTTGAAGCCTCTGATTGGATCATGGCTCCCCCTCTCCCCTGTCAACCACTAGTACACAGATATATTGATATATTATTTGGGCAATAAAAATTAATGCTGCCTTTAAACAGCAAGCTCGAAGATTGATACAGTGTGTACAATGAAAAATCAAGGAAGCAACAAACACACAAACCCAATCAAAAGCGAACCTACAGGTCAGAACATCAATACATAAAATATATTTTAAACATCTCGTTCCTCCACATCCTTGTCTCTTTTTACATATATATAATTCCACACAAGCTATTTGTAAAAAGATAAAAACTTACCTCTTTAAAATGAATAGGAGTTTTATCTAGATCTTTGAATAGTAAAGGAGATTCCTCATCTTTTTTAGGTGTCTCATAGGTAGAAGTATTAGATTCGACAGCTAGAAAATCCAATTTTGTCTGCTTCAAAGATTTTGAAAATGGTGACAGTCCCGCAACTACAGAGGATGGTTTTCCAATTACTGAAGTATCTAATTCTCTTTCTGAACATTCCTGTGTTGAAGTATTTATGCTTGCATTAGATTTATCAATTCCTGAAGAAGAACTTTTATCTGTGATACCAAGTTTGAATGACTTATTAGGTGAAACTAATGCAGTTAACCCACACTTCCTTTTAACTACAGGAGAAATTTCAGTTTCCTTTTTCTTAAGTTGGTACTTCCTTTTATTGGAAAATGAGTTAGCGTTGTTCATTGGAAATTTATTTCTCATTCTTTGCTTTGAAGAAATGTCTCTAGGTGGTGATAACTCAACAGGTTCTTCACTACCATCATCAAAACCAAAACAATTATCAACACTCCAGTCTTCTGCCACCACATTTTCACATGAATTATTAAAACCGCCACTTTCACGAGGTACAAAAGAAACTCTCTTAATCCAATTAACAGAATGGTTCATAGAACACTCATTCGCAAAATGGGAGGCATTCATTGCTGCTTGGGAGTTACTGTTCAGTGGAGTACTTTGGAAGGCAGGAGTTGATGTAGAAGTTACTTCTGACAATGAAAATCTGGCATCTTTAACATTGTTCCCCACAGGAGTTGAAACAGTGTTACCAAATGATGAAGCCAAGTGTTGATTTGGAGATTTGAATAAGTCACTTTTATTATTATACCTGTTTTCTGCAGTGGGCATTACTTTTGAAGTACAAGAAACTACACTAACACCTTGAACCAAATTAGGAATAGATTTCTCACATAAACTTATATTAGGCTTGGAGATATTTGCATCAGTGTTAACTTTCCCTGATCCAACATTCCTCTTCTCAATCTGACTCTCTGGCCTTCCATCAGGAGATACATTTTCAGAAAAAGATCTCGAAATTTCCCTGTTGGATGGACGCACAAGAGGAGGCAACGAATTACCTTGGACTTCACAGCCAATTGTCTGATCTGTGCAGTTATCTTCACAGAAAAAATCAAATTTAGATTTTGCGTTTGCTGCATCTTTCGGTTTTCCCTTAATTTTCTCTTCAGCTTCTTCGACACCAGCTTGAAATATTTTTTGGAAAACTTTTGATGGAGGATAATATACCTCTTTGGACTTAACTTTCTTCCTACGTGTAACATTTCTCTTTTTTTTCTTTTTCACTACAGGCTCATTTTCATCAATTTCAAAGTCGTACTGAGCCAATTTCTCTTCACGGGGCATATTTTTGTTCCTCAATGTCTCTCTTTGTACTTTTGTATAGATACACTTGTCAGAGAATTGTGATGATTTTGGCTGATTCTGAAGATTTTCCTCAGACGATAACACTCCCAAAAGAGATTTTTTAGCAGAATGTTGATTCCTACTGTCAGATAATTTGTAGGGTGATCTTCCTTCAGTTATTCTTCCTGGTAAGTTGCAAGACATTTTCTGGTGACTTTTTTGGTCTGTTGATCTGTTAAACTTCCTTGGCTTTTGATTTGTAGGTGACATTGGTGAATGATTGGTTTTATCACCCAATATGTTCCTTTTTGAAACACGTGATGAATGAACTGCAATATCTTCCAATAATACTACAGCCTTTTCCAAATTATTCCCTGTTGCAGATTTATCTACACATTCCCACCTAGTATTTAATTTCTTGTCCTTCTGGCTGTTTTGATCCACATTGTCTTGACATGGAATACTACGAGTGGTATTTGTACGGATTTTAACACATTTTCGCTGTGCTCGAACCATTCTGAAATATGAAGAAAATTCATAATTAAAACAATGAAAACAGTAGGTGCAATTATAATTAAAACTATTTCAAACCATTCACCATTATACAATGGATTTCTACATTTCAGGAGAAACAAAGCAAAATTGATATAGATTTCAAGGAAGAACAAAACACCCATTACAAATTGGATATTGAATTGTTCAAGGATCACTGGATAAAACAGGCCTCAACAAATGAGGTTGGGTTGAAACGTTTTCCAAATATATAATTTTAAATCCTTGACTGGAATCATCGTTCTTTATTTAAATGGAAATTGGACAGTATAACAGTTAGACATTACATAACCTTATTCCGAAAATATGTATACGCATAAAACATGGATTGGTCACGGAACGGGTTTTTTTTTTTCTATAAAACGATACCAACGCTTAGGAAGTTACGACATAATACGCAGCACAAGTAGTAACATTGCCCCTGAACAGGGCCGAGTCGTAGCTACTAAAATCACTCAACCTCAAAAGTTTCATTTACTGGTAGTTGTAAACATGAAAAATCCTTGTATATTTGAATTCGTAACCGTGCAGTGGTAGTATGAAGCAAAAACTTCACAATTTCCTTTGGCAGTATGAATGTTCACTTCAACATTAATTTAATAGCATTGAAATCACATAAACTTACGTTATCTATGTGGAAATGGATAATTCTCGAACATGAAAAATTAAACATTAATCACGGTGTGAAGATATATCAAAAAATATATCAGGGATATCACACCAGAAAACAAATTGTAGCAGCGCTTTTCAGCACCTTTCATTCCCGCGCACACAGAAATCACAACGCAACGGCATTCTCGATTCAAAACATTAGAGTGTGTTCACAAATGGCTGACATTTGTCAAACAGATTATTCCTTGGTTTTCTTAGTTGTTTCCGTACACCACGATGTAAGAGAATTTTATTCTATTTTATTTTCATCATAATACGCCATGAACCCTGTTGCAGAAGAAAAGCCAAGTCTCAATGCCGCAGAAGAAAAGAATATTGCTGTGTATAGTATATAGATGGTATTGTAACATTTTCTGCACTTCAATGAAATATGACACAGTTACAGTATTTCAAATTATTATTTTCGAATGAAATATTTTCGAATATTGCAAATGAAACCAACTTGAATGCTAACCCCCCCCCCCCTCCAACTGGGAAAAGCATCTACATAAACAGTTTACAAATGGAACTGTTTTTACTTTCTCGCATTCACTAACGTGAGAAGCACAGACGGGATTTCAGATCTTATATTAGGGGGCAAATTTGGGCGACATTATAAATACGAAAATATTCGTTTATATTACTGCTTAAAGTTAATTGTGCTGCAATTATATACACTTTTCGATTTTGTTAATTATTTAATTATTGAATGTTATTAATTAGATTAGTTGAACACTGAGATAACGATCTTCATTGCTATTTGAACAGTCCGAACTGTAAATTCAACAAAACATTTTTCTCAGTGAAATACTTCGAAATATCGAAAATGTTTATAATGTATTATGATCACAAATGTTACAGAACTGTAGGTTACATATTTAAAATCTACATTAATAAATTATTTTAATTAAAATGCAATATTCTGTTTTTGGCAAGATCGAAAGTCTTTATAGTTTTATTTATAGAGGAGAAGGTGATAATACGAACCCCCGCTTTTTTTCGACTTAAAAAATGAATTAAATACTTAAAAAAAAACAAATAAGATAACTTCATCTTCAACATATGTGTAAACTTTATAAAAAAATTGAACTTAATTAACTGTGCAGAAAGTGGATAAAAACCAATAATTCAAAACAAGTCATGTTTGAAAAGCTAGTGGTGTCAATGAATAGCACAGACTTTCTCGGTATAAGTTTTCTTATTTTCTTTGGTCTGCGCGCTACCTATTCAGACTTACTACATACTCTTGCCAGCAGCCATCTATTCTCGCCCAAAGTACATTTTTTTTTTAATTTTCTCAATTTTTCGGTTTCCTAATAGTAGAACCGAAATATTAACTTAAGAATATTAAAGAAAAGTTAAACGTCGTCCTAAATGGCAATTTTCACTGGCATTTGAAGCTCTTTTTCACAGTAATTTAAAGCATTAACTCCCTTTTTTATTTTGGACCTAGAACCATTCGTGATATCTAAAAAAAAATAGTACGAATACAAGTTGTACGGTGTATGTAATACGAGCCCGTTGACGTTGGAGGCTCATTTTACAACCATCGCCATATTAAAATTCTGCAAACTAAAACCAGTATTTGAAAGTTCAAAATACAGATTCTAGGCATTAAAAAAAACATGTTTAAAACATATTGTAATTCATTCGTTAAGCTTTTAGAACCGAGAAAACAAGGAACATTTCTGATTCACATCAGGTCTCATTTACAACTGAACCACAGAGCTACGATGTTTATTTTTTTTTTTATTTACGTCAAAAACAGTTAAAAACTGAGTGTGACGTGCTATGGGGAGAAGTTAATTTGAAGTTACATTTATATCCAGAAGCAAAACAAGGGGCCATCTCAGCATTTGCTCGATGATCAGGAATACTGGCCGAAAACGAGATCGAGATGGGGGATGGAAAAAGGAGTTATTAAACTCGTTGTTAAAATCGTTCCTGCTACAATGTATGAAAAGATACAAAGGGGGCTCATATTATATAAATGGCTCAGATCACCATCTTTACCTCTTTATATATCTATAATAAATGGAAAATACCTTTTCATTTTGAGAGTTAAAATTTGAGTGTTTTGACTCATGAATTTAGGCACGAAATGGTTCAATTTCTAAGTCAGTTAAGTTTAAAAGCACAGGGGTGGATCCAGAGACAATTTTTTTGGGGGGAGGGGGAATTAAAAATGTTTTGTTCAAAATCGCCATTATAACCACAGGTAAACGCAGCTCCTATTGCGCTCCGCTTTTATTGGTTTAATGATTATCCGAAAATAGTTTTGCTTGAAAGGTTCGTGTCAAGTTAAAATGAATAGTTACTGAAAAAAATTAGGTGGGGGAATACACTCATTTTCCTCCCCGTGGATCCGCGCCCGAAAGTAAAATATAATTGAAAGAGGATTTATTAATAAGGGATATTCTCAATAAACCTTAACATTATCCATCGCGTTTTAAAATACTCAACTAAATTAATGTATGTTATTCGCGCATATTAATAAAATTATTGTTCCGTTTATTATTATTATTATTATTATTATTATTATTATTATTATTATTATTATATTTCTTCTCTAAAATACAGAATCAAGAAATATCTATATATATATATTATTATATATATATATATATAATATATTATATATTATATATATAATCTATATATATATATATATATATATATATATATATTATAGAAGAAGAGGAGAGAGAGAGAGAGAAAATTGAAGATCCGCAGCCTGAAATGTCTGAACATAATTTTTTTAAATTTGAGAGCGAATTTTCGACACAAAAACTTTTTTTTTTCTCAAAAGTAATATTCCCCAATCGTTCTGGTTGATGTCACCGCCCGTGGAATTTGAAACCAATATTTTACTTTGTGTGTGTACTTTAGCTGAAGCTCCCGGACATGTTCAAAAGTTCCAAAAAAGTAGCTCCAGTTTTTTTAATTAAGTTTTGTTGTTGAATAGTACGAAAGACGTTTAAGAGAATGCTCTAGGTCTCATTTTCGTTAAAATTCCTAATTGTTCTAAAATTGCACCAAAAATACCAACAAAATTTAAGATAGAGATTTTTGCTTCAGACAAAGTATGCTGTACAAAATTACCTCTTTAAAAATGTCATATACAGTTTCTTTTAAAAAAACAAGTAGTTTTGGCGTAATTTGCTCTTTAAATTAACGATTTCTCAAAAACCGCTCCAAATGTTTTCCACATACATAAGGGACGGTAGAAAATATTGCGCTTGTCCCATTTTCGGGTATTGCTTTTTTTTCATAAAATGGCAAAAATATTCAAAACAACAAAATTTAAGATAGAGACTTTTGACTCATATAATGTCTGTTGTACAAATTTAGCTCTTTAAAAAAAGTCTTGTATATATATATATATATATATATATATATATATATATATATATATGTATATTGTAAAAGTTAGTAGTTTTCGCGTAATTTCTGTTTTGAATGCTAATGAAGCATGCATGGGCGTCCCGTCGTACGATAACATTGTAATATTGCGAGAAAGTATGTGCTGTTGTAGCACCACTAGCGTGGAATTCACATAAGGAGTGGTGTGATAAACATTCTTTCATGTAGATTTTATTGGTATGAATAGAGCAGAATTTCAAATATCACGAATATTATTTCACGAAATAGATTTAACTACGGACACGCCTCCATTTTGTGAATAATGACATAATTCTTCCAAAAGACCACCATGATAAGCTTTTCAAAATTCGGCTATAATTACTTCCCTTCGGAAAACGTTGAGCAAAATTGAAATAGAAAATATTTCAATTAATGAAATAGAAATTATACATTTCAAGAGGCGCTCTTCATTTAAATCTGTGATTCCCGAAGTGGTGCAGGTGAACCCCAGGGATCCACGGGACACGCGACGGGGATCTACGTGAGCGTGAAAAAATGGGGGATCACAAGCTGAAAGTGGAGGTCCACGAATATTTAACTAGTTTTGATAGTAAAGAACAAAATTGATAGTTTACTACTCAAAAAAATTAAGAGAGCAAAGAAAATTCCAAACTTTTCCTTGGTTTTTGACAGGCTATATTTCTGTGAAAATGGTCGTACACACACGAACTGCATGAAGGCTGGCAGAATTTCAAAATATCCTGAATGAGTAACACAATGAACGTAATATAGTGTTTAATTCGGTTATATGTACATTCCATTTGTGGTTTGATTGAACTGAGATACCTATAAATGTTGTTACTGTAACATCAGCTAATTGCATATTGTTCATTGTCAATGGCGATTGCCGATTTGAAATGCAAAAATGCATTGAAGCATTTTATCCTTCGTTAACTATTAATTTGTTATTACGAAACGAAGTTGCAACTTCTGAAATCGTATTATTTATTGTTTCTGTTTTGCAAAGAACATTTGTGTTATCGGCAAACAGAACTGTTCTTCCATTTTTATTAGACGAGGGCATATCATTTACGTATAACAGAGAGAATAGGACCTAAGATAAAACCTTGGGGGACCCCATGTTCAATTGGCAGAGAATTGGGAATATAAGTAAATAATGTCGTGCCAGTACGGTATTTCTACTCGGTATTTCGGTACAGTATTGAATACTTGAGTTATGTAGCAATCCCAAATATTATTGTTCCATAAACAATGTTCCTGAGAACAGACTCTGATCAAGACTGTAGGAACTGGCCTGGTTAAACTGAATATTTCATTTCGATAACATCGTAAGGTCAGATTTGATTCCGATGACATTATGGGTTTTAGTGAGAAGTCTTGTGACCATGGAAAATTATCAGCCCATCAGAATGTTTGGTTCCAATTACTTTGTACATTTCGAAGGAACATTTCTATTCAGTCGTGATTGACGCCAGAAATGTAATAAGCAAGTAAATTATAAAAGTATGATATCGCCTACCAAAGGCAGCATTTGGCCACGAGACATTAATAACTCTTGATATCAAAATTATATTCACTTAATATATAATTGGAATATTTGTTAACTTGATTTATGAATGTGAAATTCAACATCTTCAAAGTTTCATTCGTTCGAGCTGCATCCAGGAACTGTTATCAAACCTGTAGCACTTCACTTATTCTCAGCATCTCTGTCTGAAACCAGTGAAGAACATTACTGGGGACCTGTCCGGAATCTGCATGCGTCTACCTCTGGGCAGGAGATCCACACGGGAGCAACTCAACGAGCAAGAGACGTCGAAAAAACCATGTCACTACTCCTGCTGCAGGATAATTCTCATCATCTTTTCAATCTTTTAAGTGTAAACATTCACAATGTTGTGTAATTGAGTGTAGTGTTGAAAGAAGAAACGCAAACGGCTATTTTTGCGAGAAACCCTGCATTTTCAAAACTTGGTGTAACCCATAATGGTGTAAACCATAATCAAGCTTATAAGATTCATTCTCAA